GGGTTGTTGTAAATTTTTCAGGCTGTATGACCATGTTCTAGAAGCATTCTCTCCTGACATTTCACCTGCATCTATGGCAAGCATCCTCAGAGGTTGTGAGGTCTGTTGGAAACTAGGAAAATTGGGTTTATATATCTGTGGAAGGTCCAGGGTGGGAGAAAGAACTCTTGTCTGTTTACATTATTTTATGACTATATTTTAATACTTGTACATGTGTTTTAAAATAGATATTTTATAGTAATGTGCTTCAATGTATGTATTTTATTGCATGTAATTTATGTTAATGTGTTTTGACAGTATTGTGGAGCCCCCCGTGGTTCAGTGGGTTAAACCCCTGTGCCGACAGGACTGAAGACCGACTGGTCACAGGTTCAAATCTGGGGAGAGGCGGATGAGCTCCCTCTATCAGCTCCAGCTCCTCATGGGGACATGAGAGAAGCCTCCCACAAGGATGATAAAAACATCAAATCATCCAGGCGTCCCCTGGGCAACGTCCTTGCAGACAGCCAATTCTCTCACACCAGAAGCGACTTGCAGTTTCTCAAGTCACTCCTGACACGACCAAAAAAAAATTGTATTGCACCCCACCTTGAGCCATGAAGAGAGATGGGTAACAAATAAAATTTGTTGCTGCTATTGTTGTTGTTATCAGAATATCTTTTCTAGATGGTTATTACAATGTTATATTTTGAACCTCAAGAACTGTTAGCGAACAAAATATACCTCAATAATTAACTACTGTCAGAAGCCTCAATCCCAAATACTAGCAAAAAGTTAATCAAGAATCTGAGGTCAAGCAGATAGTCCAGCACAGATGAAAAAATTAGCAAGATAACACAAATAGAGAAGCTAAATATCCATTTCAGAGTCATAAGCCAATTACCTGAGTGTCCAAAGTACAAAGTTGAATCAGAATCTGTAAGCAAAGGTCCAAGGTAGGTCCAAGGCTTAGAAAACACAAAATAGCAAGAGTTCAAATTGTAACTTCTGAAACTGCCATTGCAGCCAGCAACAAGTTGTCATCCCTTAGTTACTTAACTTCTCAATTCACAGGTGTTACCTGTTGCTGATTTTCTTCTCAGTTAATCTCAAGGACTTGCACAGCTGAGACCTCTCTCTTTGCAGGTCTATGAAAGCTGGAACGGTGAATTCTTCCTCAATCTGTTCACTTGCACTTGTTCTTCAAGCTGAGACATAGTAGCTCCTTCCATGCCTGTTGCTTCAAAGCTTGGCTGAGGGAGCTGCTGGGCTCCAGCTCAACCTTTGAGCCTTCCACCAGTATCTCCTCATCTTTGTTTTCTAAGCTATCCACCACAGCTATCAGTTGTTGAAGAAGATGACAGTCAAGTCATCAACATTTAATATGAAATGACTTACAAATGGGGGTAGTATTTTACACCTACACTTATCACATGAGCTGGGTTTTTCCCCTGTGGATTTACCCCATGGTCTTATTGCAATAGTTTAAAACTGACAGATATTATGTTTCTCTGGGAATCTCTACGTTCTCCAGGGTGATTCCATGGCTAACATCTGTTGGAAGTTGATCATAGAGTCACCCTGGAGATTCCTAGAAAGATGTTATTTCAGGTTTAAAAAGTGTGAAGAGTGTCTAACTGGATCTTGCATGTAATACATTGGCCTTCTGCATTTGAGCAGACCAATATATCTATAAAATAGAGCATTTCAAGCTCATAATGAAAGACCCTCTGGATTCAACCAACCAACTAATAAAAACAACCAACCAAACAAGAAAGACAAATTAGGTCCACTACGGAATGATTGAGTTCTCTGTGGATCACGTATCAAGAAAAAAGTGAGATGATAATAAATATACTTTCACCTCCAAAGCAATATACTCATAACCTATCAATAATTTCCTGCCAAAGATTTATCTTCAATATGCTGTTTGCTAACCATATTTCAAATTTATTATGAGGAAGACTTTTAATGTGAAAATTTCATCTGATATTACCATTCATTTTATCTCCTCACATGAGAAATTATTGTTGAATATACATAGGTATTCACTTTAGCCAAAGCCATTTAGTGTGTGTTGGGGCGGGCAGAGCTGAATCAAGGGAGGAGATGAATAAAATTTAAATGTCACAAACATTTATGAAAGGATTCAAAGCAATTCTCAAAATGCTATGGCACTTCAAATGTCAGCAGAATGGATAAAGAATGATCCTGCAGACTGGATTTTGTACAGCTGTAAAATTCTCCTCTGAAAAGAGAGAAGAATACTAGAAGAACTCTGGAAACCAAATTCAGAGTCGACAGTCTCTTTTGGGACTATGCTAAAAGGTCCTTTGCATTAACTTTGTAGTTCACCAACTGGTGTCTGAGATATGAATTTCCAGGCTCGCCTCAGATGGAAGTAGAGTTTTTTTTTTCAGGTAGAAGTTTTTAAGAATTATAATTTCATTTTCTCACATGATAGCTATATGGAGCAGTGATGCTGTTATTGATATTGCTGTTCTGATTGTTACTTTATTATATTTAATTTTCATAATTTATAAGCATTATCTGCTTGTCTAACCTGGCTGTAACGTCTACTTGTGTCAGTCAGCATTAGAACTGAATTCAAACCAAAATGTAGTTATGTATATGCCTGAAAGTCTATTGGGGGAACTGCTATTGATGTTCAACTTTCCTGAGCACTGAAATCTTCGTGTAATGCAAATATCAACAGGGTCTCTTCCAGCACATCCTTCTGGTAAAAAAGTTGCGATATTTTCAAACAGGCAAACCTCACATTTTTAGCAAGAAAGATGGCATGGTAAGATATAAGACCTTATCACATTGGGATATACTCTGTTTCTGAGACCCTTTGAACGTGATCCTGAACTAGTGATATCACACGACATTTGTCCTGTTCCATCAGTAATCTGTTGGAATCCATATGCAAAACATTGCAGAAACTGAGTAGTTGTACATGGGATTCTAATCATTTGAAAAAATAAAATGGTTCTGAGGCACTATTTTTACATGTGATTGTAAAATCAGTATGCATTCAGTCAGCTAATATCTCACAAGAGCAGAAGTTCAAGATTTCCAGGCTATTTCACTGAGCAATATTATGGGGGAAAGTGACACAGGGAGGCATTCAAATGGATTGAGAGGAGCCAGCCTTCTGTCATGTGATGAGTCAAAGTGTAGTATTTTCAAAACGTAAGAATCAGGTGCAATGGGGTAAGTATGCATCCCATCTAAATACAGTATGCATCTAGTCTAAAACATTACGGGGATGCGTACTGATATTAGTGAAGCTCATCCCAATGTGATAAGGTCCATAGATTGGCCCTCTATTCAGTAGTTATGAAGAGAATGACCTGGACGTATAATTTCATAACTACTTGGGATTCATTACTTCAGAAACTTTTGCGTTTAGTTGTTAACGTATGGAAATATAACTGTGACAATTGAACTCTGTCATTGTAGTTACTGCTGACAATACAGAATCAGGGATTTACTACAAGTTTCAATATGTCTCCACTATATCCACAGTACACTAATGAACCAATGGCTATGCTACATGTTTGTCAGTATGCTCTGCCCATGTGATCTATCTTCTCCCCTTTTCAATTAGCTGGACTGCATGGAAAGCATGTAATCTTCCAATGTATCCGTCTATAACAGGGGTCCTCAAACTGTGGACCTCCAGCTGTTTGGGCCTTCAACTCCCAGAATTCCTGACAATTGAACAAGCTCGTTAGGACTTCTGGGAGTTGGAGGACCAAACTGCTGATTATTTATTATTTACTTTACTTATATACCGCTGTTCTCAGCCCGAAGGCGACTCAAAAGTTTGTGGACCCCTGGTCTATAACATAGCCTTAAGACATGTATAGTGGTGTCCTCTGCTCATTAAGGATTGAAGCCTTCACTTTCTATAACTTTTCAAGCAGAAATCAAGGTGCAATTCGTATGTATGTGTGTGTGTACATACACATACACACACACAAAGAGAAACATTTGGGTAGCTACTCTACTTTTTACGCAGCACTCCCCCAGTGGGTGATCAAAGAAACAAAACTTAAAGCCAGACAGGCATTTCATGGCCGAGATCACCCAATATATTTTGCTACCAATTTTGCTACCCATCAGCAAATAGTGTCTCCAATGTACTCCCAAACTCAAGATGCATAGCACCTAAAGCCACTGGAGTTATTTTGGGCCTGAAGCAGGAAATATCCCTAACAACTGCCCCCACTTCTTGCATGCCAGTATTTCCCAAACTCTGGTCTTCCAGGTGTTTTGTACTTCAGATCCTATAATTTCCAATCCCTTCCAGAAAGGCCCTATATCCTAGGATCTGATCGCGGGCTTTCTGTTTATTCCAGATTATCTGGCAGTGCAGACTCATATAATCCAGTTTAAAGTACAAAACCTGAGATCAGATCCTGGGATATAAGGTCTGTTTAGAAGGGCCTCGAGACCTCTGGGAGCTGAAGTCCAAAACACCTGGAGGACTAGAGTTTGAGAATTATGGATGTATACATACATACACAGTAATGAAAACCTTTAACAAAAGCTAGCAACCTGCTACCCTTTCATTAGTATTTTAAATCGATTCCATGGAGCAGCTGCCTCCCTCTGTTCAATGAGAGGACTGGTCATGTTAGTGGCTAAAATTGAGCACATAATGCCTGCCGTGGGAAAGTGCATTTTAGTTTCTTTATGTCTACCATTCCTGTATTTCTACAAATGTGTGAGATATCTAAGCAAATAACAGAAATGACAGGCAAAAAACATTTGTTTCCTGTTAATATTTACCCAAACATCTTTGTTACCAACAAGGAAGGTTTAGCCATGCATGACTACTGTTAAGTGCAGGATGAAAATCAGCTTGTTGGTTTTTTATTAGTCTTCATCATATTATAAAGTAACTGTGAAGGAAGAACAAATAAATGTGATGCAGAAGCAAGTGCAAACAAAAGAAAAAAAGAAACCCCCAGCAACATTAGAACAATATTTTTTCAATAGGATCTCTGGTGTGGATTTCATCATCCTTTGCAACAATGGCTTTGAAATTAACATGATTTCCCCAAAAACATCAGAAACGTAGTCTTTTATTCTACTTAGATTTTATTTCTTCTTTGTATAATCTGCTTTATTTCTGAATGTACAAATAGCATTTCAAATATTTTGGAAGCAAACATTACAGGTGTTTTAAATTACAACTTTATACAAGGATTTATCTCGGTTACTACCATTATGTAAATGTGTGCCATTCAAATAATCATAATAATAAATAAATAAATGTTGTTGCTGTAAATATATCATTCCAAATAACGCCCAGCAAAATTATACAGTTTAGCAAAGTAGATTTTTCAGAAGAATAGTTAGAAAAGTTTTCAATACTTTTTAAAAAAAACAAACGAACAGCTCACCCTATTATTTGGGTTTACTATAAAATAGGAATATGGTCATTCTGAGGTCTAAAATATTGGTCACAAAGCTATGTTAATGATTAGTTTAAAGCTAGTGGAGAAATAATTAGGCAAAAATGGTATTTTGGTTAGTTTCTAACCAGAGCAAACGTGAAATTCATGCTTCCTTCTGTTTAAAAGGACTAAATTTATATTTGATGGTCATAAGTATATGGGATGCATAGAAACTATATACTTATTGGGATGGGACACATGCTTACATATGCCCACATCTATGGATTCAAAGCTGGCTTTATCACTGAATTTTTTTTTAAAAAATGCATGAATACTGTTTTGCTTTCAACAATTGCATAAAACCATTCTAAAACTGTTATTTCCATGGCTCTTGGCTACTTAAATAGAATCCAGTTATTTTCCAGAATAAATTGGATTTTCTTTTGAAAAATCCATCTCTCTTCTTTGTTTATGGAGTTAAAGACAAATAAAGGCTCCGTGTGATTAAGATCGTGTTAGTTGCGTATGGCTTTTTAATAATCAAAGACATCCAAGTCCCCAAAAGAATGATGTTCCTGGGAATCTTTAGTCATTCTGTATTTCTTTGAAGAAGCTGATCCAGTAATTGCTACAAGGAAAACAAAAATAAAAAACAACCTGTAATGTCACACATTTTATATTATCAGATCTTATGGATAACAGAAAAAAGGGTAGACACAGAATTATTTCTGGAAGGAACCATACGTATGTGATAACATTTATTATTTCTAGATGTGTTCAGTGATGGAAAACATTATCTACATGTAAAAGGTCCTAGGTTCAATCTCTGGTATGACTGGGAAAGACATCCATATGAAATTCTAGAGATTCTAGAAATTATGTATGAAATTCCATATAAAATTCTAGAGCTACTGCAAATAAGCAATACCGAATGCAATGGTATGACTCAGTACAAAATAGTCTGTACTCCTCCCTCAATACCTGAAAAAGAGTATGCTTCATCTGAAATCAGGAATATTATTCACAGAACATGCGTGACAGTATATTAAGACTAGTATGCTGGATCCTATAGATATTAGGGATGTATATTTGATTATTTCATCCTTATGAAGAAAAATGTTTGCTTTATGTAGAAACATTCCAGTGTACTTTTTCATCCTGTATTCTGCACAAAAACACATATGGTTTTTAGTACAAAAATATCTTTTTTGTTACAAAATATTGTACATATTGTATTGTCGAAGGCTTTCATGGCTGGAATCACTGGGTTGTTGTAGGTTTTTTCAGGCTATATGGTCATGTTCTAGAGGCATTCTCTCCTGACGTTTTGCCTGCATCTATGGCAAACATCCTCAGAGGTAGTGAGGTCTGTTGGAACTAGAAAAATGGGTTTATATATCTGTGGAATGACCAGGGTGAGACAAAGGACTCTTGTCTGTTGGAGCTAGGTGTGAATGTTTCAACCGACCACCTTGATTAGCATTTGATGGCCTGGCAGTGCTGAAAAAACCTACAACAACCTACTGTACATATTTTCCCATGGTTACATTTTGTGCAGAATTGCTGTTCTTTGCACAAAAAGGGGAAAGCTGCACAAATATGGGTGGCTATCTGCAAACAGCATTTTAGAGAGAAAACATATTTTGAAACAAAAACTTCATATTTTTGTGCAAAATGGATGGGTTCTTTGTGCAAAAGTGTGATGTCCACAGGAAAAAAAAATCACTTATCTGAAAAGGTTTTCTGTCTAGAAAATGCATTTCTGTACACACAAAAAGCAATGGTTTTCATTGCTAAAGACCCACAAGTATTTTTGTACAGAATATGTTTTGAAACACTTCAGAATGTGTGAATATTGGCTGAAAATGGCACAATTTTCTTGCCATTGTATTAGTCTTCCCCAGCCAGTTTTCCAAAGGGTCAGGAAATCCATTTTTGGGTGGGAAACAAATAATAGTGGATATGCTCTCCTTTCCTAATACAGGTTGCAAAATTTAGAGGGTAAATAGAAGTGCGGCATGATGAGATTTTATACGAAACCACTGGCATACACATATACACAGACATATCCAGGCAAAGAAATGCAAAATCTGACTTTGCTATTAGTTTCCTCAAAACTCTCCAAACAAATTTTTGAAAGAGGGAAAGGAGACAGGAATTTCTAAATCTCCTGTTTGTGGGTACTAAAACTGTATGCAAACCAGTGAATATGGGGTGACAGAAAAAAATATTGCTTTATTTAGTTTCAAGCTTGTGCACAATTGGAGAATTGTTACCTTTTTGAACACTTCAACTCGCATCCTATTGCTTTGTAAGATGACCCGTTTCTGTTTCTCTTCTTGCTTCTTTTTCACTTCAGGCAGAGTATTATAAATTCTGGAATATAATAAAATTATTATGTTTGACTTAAGCTATCAGCAAATGTATAATGGTGTTGACCCTTAAGAGGGCACTGCCTGCAATAATGGCCTTTTTTTGGAGCAGGGAGGAGGGAACATGTAAGATTTTGTACTCAACGTATTGTGTGTTATTCACTCAGGAATGCACTGTCCATAGCACAGAACTGGATTACTCCAGAAAAGTCTAGATCCGAGTGGCCAATTGTGGGGTCCTAAAGGGCCACGTTAGCCTCCAGGAAAGTTTAAAGGACTGGACCTTCCCTACTGAACCCCAACTGCAGAAATATGCATTTTTTGTCCTAAAATGCCACCTAAGGTATGGAGGGCTTTGTTGCTATGTTGAGGGGACATTTTAGTCCCAGGAAAGGTCTTTTTCTTTTAAAAGGAAGTGATTTGATGTCACTTTATATTTTGTTCCTGTTGTTGTTTTGTAAAGGACTCTCCTGGCTCTAAYAGCCAAGGGAGAAACCTGGCAAAAATGCCCCCACATCCTCTATAAGGCATTTTCTGTTTATTTCACATTAAAAAAGAGCAGATATGGCAAAAATGCCCCCCCTCGCCCCCCCCAGGAGCAGAAGCATCCCAAGTAACATCAATGCATAACATATTTTTTAATGTCCCTCACACCTTGCCTATCCTTGCTCTAGAGTAATATTAAGAATTGGCGAAAAATAATCCCAGAACAGGATAATCCTGCAGGTGATATCATTTTTAAGCTTTCATGCTAGCTCAAAAGYACCTGGACTTCCACAAACCATGACCAGGGACTGTTGACAGGGTTAGCTGTCAATAGCTGRGGATGATTTTGTCATGAGGAGGTGGCAAACATGCAATTGGTATCACCTGATGTTATGTTGGTTTGCCACCTCCTTGTTCTACAGTCCCTATTCAGTTTGAGGGTCCATGATAATGCAGTGCTAGAACAGAACTGATATGAATCAAGATCAAAATRGAAGAAGGACTAAAATGCCACATATAATGTGTTTTACCTCTTGGATCGCATATGCATCTCCTTTTCTGAAATGGACCGTTCTTTTGGCTTAAACAGATTATCTAGGAATTGCAAAACACAGATTACAAGCTTGATAAYGTAATAAAGAATGGGATTCTTGTCTAAGTGATCTCAATGTAGCTGTGTGTACAGCAGGCAAAACAGTTGCTTCTGGAAACATTTGCAGATCATGTATGAAGAGTAAAAGAAAGAAGGGGGGGGGCAGTAGTTAAACTTTTCTCACCAGCTACCCTGTTATGTTGGAAAAGACATAGATCCATATGTTTTGTCACCAAAATGGAAATTACAAAAAAATGTTGAGTCCATTGATATATAAACGTATTCCCCTGACATTAAGTCTAATGGTGTCTGACTCTGAGGGTTGATGCTCATCTCCATTTCTAAACTGAAGAGCTGGCATTGTTCCATAGACGTTTCCAAGGTCATGTGGCCAGCATGACTGCATGGAGCGCCCTATATATATATATATCCCAAAATACATTTTAGAAGCATTCAAAGGATGTCCAAAAGTTTTAAAAAGTATATATTTACTTATGCAAAGCTTACCTGATCTGTTTGTTTCACCTTACATGTGCATAATGTTAGGTTTAGATGCATAGTTTGCTGAAACATATTACATTTATTGTATCTCTCTTTTGTGATGTAGGACCCTCTCTTTACTCTTTCGATTTATTTCCACCTCTGGTACCTAGGTTTTTGCTAAAGGACTAATATCCAAGAACACAACCACTTCGTTAAGTAAGATATATTTGCATTAATTGACAAATATCCCTCTAGTGATTCCTCCAAAAGCAAAGTTTTAGAAGTAATAAATAGATACTATTTCTAACATGGAAAGGAGGTGTCAACATTAATATTTGGTAAAGTTATTTAAAAATATATTGTTGCTTGCTTTCATTTCCCCCAAAGTGAATGTGCTATAGGTAGAAAATACAACAGGATTTTGTAACAGGTACATATGCATGATTCGAAGCAGCTCCTTCTGCCTATCAGCTGAGAGCATGGGGCAATCTAGCTAATACTCTTTAAACTAAGTGACAATGGCTCTCTAGGGTTTCAAGTCAGAGTTGTTTTGTAATACTACCTGGTGACACCATTCTAGACAACTCCAAATTCTGTTTGTCAGCTTTCATAACTCTTCCCTCCTCTGTATTGGCTCTAACCAAGAGATGGCTAGGTTAAAGAAATCAGAATACTCATCCCACCCATTCCAGGAATTTGGACTATAATATCATAAATTGATGAGATTGTACATTTTTATCAAAAACATGAGTATGTTTATAGAATGTGTAACAAATAAGTAGTGTACTAAGACTTGAGTTCATGTACTGAACTAGGGTGGAGGGAGCCTCATGGGAAGATTGGCGTTGTCACAAAATGTGATGCTATTGTATCACAGAAGGACCCAATGGACATACTGAATTCCAAACCAAATAATAGGATTCCCCCTCCCGAGGGCAAAACTCCATGAATCAACATGGCTCTTGATTCAAAACAATGTTCTGCATCGCTGACAAACCAAGAGAGCAGTGAAGTATTTAAAGATGTTTCTTGGCTATGAAGCAGTGCAAGCTTTTTTTTCCTTTGGACCTTTCCTAGGTCCAGAGAACCACCTCAAATTAACTCCAGAGACAGACAGGGTGGAGCAGGAGACTGTTGGAATCCCTGAGTTTTCAATTAATTTGCAAGAAATAAAAGGTTTTTACACAATTCACTGGGACTAATTCGAGAACATGTCGTTTGTGAAGGGAATATGGAAGACCAACATATAACAAATGATAACAGCCTAAGGGCCCATCTAGACAGCCCCTTTATTGCAGAAACTTCTGCAATAAAAAGGGGGCTGTCCAGACGATGTTCTGGGCAGTCCCGCATTAATTCACTACAAACCAGGAAAACCTTGGAAAACCCTGGTTTGTAGCGAATCAATTTGTTAGTGTATTTATTCTGCACCTTCTTGGAAGGGGCGAGATAAATGCACTATTTCTGGGTTTGGACTGCAGAATACTGCAGGCCAGACAGTATTCGCACAGTTTACCGGGCTAAACAAGCTCGGGAAACTGTGGGAATACCCACCTCCTCCCCCCAAGTCCGCAGATCGCATAGAAAACTAAGAAAAACTTATGTGCTCTCCAGTAGAAGCCCCAACGAGCTCTCCCGGTGCGTAGAAATGATGTGCCAGGAGAGCAGGGGGAGGAAGAGGAAAAATTGCTCCCCCCCCCCAGTCGCCTGGCGCATCATTTCTTTTGCTGGGAGAGCTTGCCATGGCTTCTACTGGAGAGCACGTAAGTTTTTCTAAGTTTTCTAAGAGGTCTGGGGGCTTGGGGGAGGGGGTGGGGCCTTCAGGCATTCTCTCGGGATACTTCCAAGAGAACATCTGAACATGCACCCCAGAAAGCGCGTGCTGGAGTGGGTGTGGATAGGCTCCTGGGAAAATCCGCATTTTTCAGACGCAGGTTCTTCCGAGATTAGGGCCTGTCTGGATCCGGCCTCAGTCTAGCCATGATTTCTTTCCTTAGGTCAGTGGTTCTCAACCTGTAGGTCCCCAGGTGTTTTGGCCTACAACTCCCAGAAAACCCAGCCAGTTTACCAGCTGTTAGGATTTCTGGGAGTTGAAGGCCAAAACATCTGGGGACCCACAGGTTGAGAACCACTGCCTTAGGGCAAAAAAAAAAAATCTGCAATGTAGATGTGTCCTTGATCAGTGGCTCCCAGGATCCTTCCACAGTCCTATATCTCAGAATACTAAGGCAGAAAATCCAACATTATCTGAGTGTGGACACACATAACCCAGATCAAAGCAGATATTGTGAGATTTTCTGCCTTGATATTCTGGGATACAGGGCTGTATGGAAGGTTCCCCAGGGTGAACAAGGGTGGGAGTTCAAATCAGGTGATCAACGGAGCAAGGAAAAGGCTCCAAATCAGTATTTAGATCAGTACAAGGAATAAGAATATGTAAAGACCCACCAGGTTTGACAACATACACCATAGCTTCCTTTTTTGTTATTAGACAAAAAAAAAACCCTCTCAGATTATATAGTGGAGTATATATATGATTACAAATTCTTACTTTATATTTTTTATTTTCCAAATATATTATTGTTTTTAATCTAGTGAGACACTAGATTGTTTAAATATATTGTGAAATTACGATCATTCCCAATTCAGTGAGTTTATCATCAAAGCAGCAGAGGCAAACTCCATTTTATTCCTGTAGTCAGTGATAGTGCCATAATTTACATAAATTTAAAAGTAAAACTGTAGGTGCCCAGAGTATATGATTTAAACATCAATTCAGAATTAGAAAACTATTTTTAGATTATTTGGGTTAATTTATTGCTCTAACACATCCGGAACATGGATGCAGTTGTAAAGCCTGGATATACAGCTATACCCCATCACTACCATGAAAACCAGGGTTCAGAACTACCAAGCTTCCTCACTTTTTTTCCACCATGTCAGGAGCGATTTGAGAAACTGCAGGTTGCTTCTGGTGTGAGAGAATTGGCCGTCTGCAAGGACGTTGCCCATGGGATGCCTGGATGTTTGATGTTTTACCATCCTTGTGTGAGGCTTTTCTTATGTCCCTGCATGGGGAGCTGGAGCTGAAAGAGGGAGCTCAACCCACTCTCCCCAGATTCGAACCACTAACCTATTGGTCAGCAATCCTGCTGACCCAAGGGTTTAACCCACTTTGCCACTGTGGCCTCCTGTAGCTGTTCCATTGAATCTTAACTAAAAATATTTTAACTTGAAAAAAGTTGTTATTATGCATAGGTTAAAATGAACAGAGATTGAGCTGTATTTGCTCAGAAGAAGGTAGAGGAAGGTGGTAGCAAACCTCCTCTGATTAAATGAATTTAACATAAAAACCCTTTAATAGGATCACCATAAGTCAGAACTGACTTGAGGGCACGTAACAACAAGCAACAATACAAAGATGCCACATAGTTCCTTCTAACTTCCTTAGGCACGTACTACCTTGAAAAGGTGTGTGTACATTAAAGATAGTAAAAAGCTACAGTGCTGCTCAGTTTGATACAGATGTCAGCTCAGCATCCCTTGCCCTGAATATAGATCTTCTCTCTGCAGGTTCAGTTCCCAACTTTTAAAGACACCACATGTGCCTCATGGATATTTATGGAGGTTACCCCAGGCAACCCATGTACACAGGCATTTAAAGGAGCCACACCTAGTATCTCAATTACATTCCATTTAGTATTTTTCTGAGAGAGGGAACGACGGCTTTTAGTTTAAGAGCAATGCCATTTGCACAAGTCAACAGGCATGCTACTCATTTCATAGTGATGCCATTTAAAGACTGTAAAAGAATGAGAAAAACAAAGATAAAGAGATCAGATATTTTTCAGATGTTAAAAAACCCCCATCAACCATCTTCTTCCCTGCCAGTGTTTCAACTCAAATGCATTTGCACAATATATGTAATGTCTACCTATCTTCCCAGTCACCCCTCAAATGTATTTCTTGTGAGCTTTTAAGGAGCAGTGGTTCCAAATCAAACAGTGTTTGTTCAGAAATCTTTAAAAACAACTGCATTAATCAACAGGTGAAGAGTTGCAGTTGAGACAGGAAACTGTTGTTTAATATCAGAGTAATAGAGTAAGTAGGATCTGGCGGCACTCCATGCAGTCATCCCAGCCACACAACTGTCCTCTCAACCCTGCTATAGGCCTGTGAGATGTGGACTATCTACAGATGTCACATTCAACTCCTAGAACGGTTCCATCAGCACTGCCTCCGAAAAATCCTGCAAATCTCTTGGGAAGACAAGCAGACAAATATCAGCATGCTGGAAGAAGCAAAGACCACCAGCATTGAAATGATGGTTCTCCACCATCAACTCCACTGGACTGGCCACGTTGTCCAAATGCCCAATCACCGCCTCTCAAAGCAGTTGCTCTATTCCGAACTCAAGAACGGAAAACTGAATGTTGGAGGGCAGGAAAAGAGATTTAAAGATGGGCTCAAAGCCAACCTTAAAAGCTCTGGCATAGACACTGAGAACCAGGAAGCCCTG